CTAAAGGAGTCCCTTTCTCAGGTGAAAGAGGTGTTGCTCACCTGGGGCTGGGACCCTCCTCCCCCTGCCCACTGTGCCCCTCCTCTCCCCTCCTCCTTTGTCTTAGGAAGCTATATTTTATGTATTTGAGCAGCCAGTGTTCTCTTATTTTACCTGACTCTTTTCCAATTAGTAGCTGCTCACCTCAGGGGAACATAATTAAGAGGGCTCTAGTTATCTGGGGGAAAGGAATTAAACAAATTGTGAAAGTGCAGTAATAATGAACAGGGACTACAGGGCCATTAAGAAGTCTGCAGTGTCCGTATTCGTGCCTGTTCATTGCTAGGAATGCGCTCCAGCTACAGGACGTACCGGGAAGAGAGGTGGGCGCCTCAGGCCTAGAGTTTGGGTAAAAAGCTCCCTTGGTATACCAGCACTCGTTTCCTTTGGCTGAAGTGCTGAGTACGTGCTGTGTGGTGGAATGGACACAGCGTGAGCTTTTAGTCCTGCAGCCCTGAGTCTGAATATATGGCTCTACTCTTTACTAGCCGTGTGACCTTGGGCAAATCACTTTACCTTTCTAAGCCTGTTTCCCGTTCTGGAAATGTGGGAAATAGCACTACCTTGCAGAGTTGCTTTGAAAATTATGGGTAAGAATGCACTGAAGCAGCTAGGTTATACTAGCTCCATGAATATTAGCTTCTTCTCCCCTTAAGAGGATTCAAGCTGAGCGTACCTTTCAGGTAAAGGCCATTATATTGTCACTGCTTTGGCACCAGCAACAGAACCCCTTTCCTTTGCAGGGGAGAAGGAAGACAGACTAGCTTTACCTCTTGCAGGATGTAACTGATTATGTCCGAAAGTGCAACCATTCCCAGAGAACAAAGGCCAGGTACACATATTCCCCATTCCACTCTTCAGAGATGGACGGTGGCACCCCACAGTTGCCGTGACACAGTCGGTCATAGCAGTTAATATTATCAGCTTTGATTTAATTATGGGCATTGTGGCTTCTGCATGTGTGTGTCTAATTGTCATTAAAGTGTCTTCAAAATCGCACTCAGACTCTGCCCTGAAATGGGAAGTCGCTGTGAGTGCCACTAGGCACCAAAGCAGAGAAGCATGCTGTTGGTTTGCTGTTAGTAAAACCGATGTGTACGTTCATATTTTCTTGAAAAGCAATAAACAAATTCTTTCTGGGACCTAATAATGGAAGATAGTACCTAATTAATAAGGTTTTGTTACTGACATGCCCTTAGAAAAAGGTGGACATTGATGACTGAATCAAAAACAAAGATTCAGGTGAGTCAGACTCTGACTGTGAAGAACTTTTGTAGGAATGGCTTAACCCATTAATTTTGGGTTAATTCTCCTCTTAATGTAAGCCAACGAATGATAAGTGGTCTTTAAAATTTGTCATTCTACATAAGAAAGTAATGAATCATAGTTCCCTTGGTAGTTCTTGTCCTCTTGGTGGTACATAAAATCAAAAGTAAAGGTTACCCTCCAAAGAGAGTGATAAGCAACCCTAGTGAGTAACTCAGATCGTAGACAGGTGGCAGAAGAGTAAGGAGACAGGTGCCCGGGGATCAAAGGGAACCCGTTCGGACATGATGGTAGCCACTTACTGAGCCCACCGTGTGCTGCTCCTGTGCGAGGCACTCTATACATCATCTCTAATCCTTGCCACAGTGAAAGATTTCCACTGGGGCAGGTACTGCCCTTCTAGAAAACACTTTGCCAAGATATAACAAAAGATGTGAAAAAAACAGTCCTGCCCTTTGACTTAATAATTCCATGTTTGGGAATTCATGCACATGAAATCATTCATTTTTATTGTTACAGAGTTGCTTATAGTGAAAAAGTAGATGCGACTGTAACTCTCGGTATAGGGCTCAGTAAATTATGGTATATCCATACTCGGTGGAATATTACACAGTCTTTAAAGTAATCACAGAGATAATAGTAAAAACATGGGAAATGTTAATGTAGCCAATGAGAAAGCAATAAAATGTATGCACATTCCAGTTTCAAAGATAAAATGTTTGTTAATGTGGGCCGATACAAAGGAGAACAATGCAGAAACAGAAGTAGTTCTGTTAAGATGACATGACCATGGGAGAGTGGTGTTTTTCCCCAGAAAAATTTCTCTTTACAATAAAAAGCTATCACAAGCAGGCTTCCAAAGAAAATGAGTCAGTGGCAGCAGTGACTGTTGAGGTATAATGAAAATAGAAACTGTTTTCAGAACGCACCTAGAATTACCCAGTTGTATCGTATGTGCTATGCTGAGATGTTAAGGAGTCTCCAGGTTCCTTTTTTCTCTTTTTCCCTCTCCCCACTTGGAATTTGTAATTAGTATATACGCAGAATGAAAATGCCAAAGATTCAGGGCAGTATTTAGGGCTTCGTAAGCCAATGATGGCAACGTAAAAGGTATTTGTCTAAATTTGAGTTCATATATATAATTAAGCAGGGAGCTGCTGTGATTTCAGAGTCAGTGTGTTTTAAATATTTTCTAAATACAGAGCAGTTGCAGCCCTAACAATACTTGGCTAAGAAACTACATTTCTACAATAGCCTGTAATTACCCTTCGGAAAACTATTGAGCTTAAAAAAAATACCTACCAGACCATACTGAAGAGTGAGTCCCTCTTTGTCCCTTCTTCATCTGCAGTTATTTCTGTAAGACTTCTTTTTCCTCTCTTTCAGGCTATCATTGATTTTATTGCAGGACAAAAGGGCATAGCATTAAAACCTACATATTTAGAATTCTAGAAAATACTTTTTCAGATAAGAGTCTGTGTTGAGTTATACAGAAGCTTTTGCTGTAGATATTTACTTTCACCTTTTTCTCACAGTTGTTGGAATGTCTTTTTCTGTGCCTTAATTTATTTGGATTTTAGTTCTGAAATGCTAATTAAAACTCAGGGATCTTGGTCAATTGTATGATAGAATATAGGAGCTGGAAAAGTTGATCAGATTTGGTGAAATACTATGGATTTGGGTTTTTCTGCCTTCTGTGTGTTAGGCTGTGTTTCTGGACACATTAATAAGTAGCCATTTTTCTGGAATTCTGCACTCTTCCTGCTTTCTTTCATTACATTAGGCAAGGTTCCACTAGATGAGACATTTGTAGTCTTAAGACTTCCTGCCAGGGTTCAGACTTTGTATTTTTGACATTGAAGCTGTCGTGTTCCTGAAGCTACTTAATTAGAAACACATTCATTTCAGTGTACATTGGAAAAAACTTGGACAGCAGAGCCAGGCACACTGGGAAGTTTGAGCATTTGTGGAGCTGGCCGCTAAACTAATGGTTTACAGTTTAAGGGAAAAAAATATCGCAGGGCATTTCCTTGCCCCTAGAAGCGAAGAGAAGCTGAATGTGCACAGCAGATACCTTTTTCAAAAGGAGAGAAGAGAAGAAAGAAAAAAAGACAACTCCACTTTCACTGCAGTTGTGTGTATAATTCTTTCTTTGGCTATTATCAAATACAAAAGTCTTCTAGAAGAATCGTTCCCAAACTGTGCTGCTAATATTCAAGTCTGTTTTACAGGCTCCCAAGATATATTACTGCTGAGATCTGTAGGAAGGAGGACATTTTATATTCTGGGGAAGGATTTTTGCTTGAAGAATTTTATTTGTTGAATGGTAATGAGGGAATTGTGCCCTTATTTTTAAATGTTTGAGCAATTTTAAAATGCGCATCTGATGTTTAAAAACCTTCATTCCTCATCCATTGCTTTCAGGATAAAAGCCTAAACTCCCTAGTATTCAATTGGAAGTAGATCTCTCCTTTCTCATTTCTTACCACTCCTTGTTTCCCCAGCCCTTGTCCCCAAGAAAGCCACCCTTGTAGGTCCACTCCCACTCGCCCAGCTGCCCAGAGTAAAGGGCCCTACCTGGTCACCTCAGACTGTGACAGGTATCTTTCCTCTAGGCTCATAAAATACCCTTTGCACCTTTCACAGGATGAATCACACATACTGGAGTCACACTTTGGGAGGAGTCACTCCCTTCCTCTCTCCTCCGTGACCTCTTCCCCACCCCCAGGGAAAGGTCATGTGGGAGGCGGGCCTGGGGATTTTAGGCTCGGGATTATGAAGTCAGAATGGCACAGAGAAGAAACTTGGAGTCAAATCCTAGGTTTGCCACTTACTTTGTTTTATGGCGTTAGATAAGCGATTTAAGCTCTCTGGGCCTATTTTTTCCCTCTGTAAAATGGGGATAATACCTAACTTGTATGGTTGTTGTGTGGATTAGGAAAGATAAATTTGAAGTTTATATAATGCCTAGCACATTTATCATTGTAAGTAATGTCAGAAATTATGATGTGTGTGTGTGTGTGTGTGTGTGTGTGTGTGTGTGTGTGTGTGTGCGCGCGCGCGCGCGCACATGCCCTGTGAATGAAGTAGCTGGTAGGGGCTTTATGAATATTAGTGCCATTGGTAGCATATGTGCCGTGGGAGAGGAGGTGCTTACTGGTAGCTCACCATGTGCTTTGTCCAATCAGAAGGGACAGTTAAATCACATCTCTTGATGGCAGAAGGAAACAGCAATTAAAACTCATTCTCCATTTCAACCTTGTTAACTGCTTTCTCTGTTGTAATCATGGCAATAATAAATCGTTCCCATTTGTACCAGGAACTGCACTAATCACTCGATGTGTATTTTCTCTCGTGCTGATGGCAACCTACCAGCTCTGTTCCAAGACCCCATTTTAAAGATAAGACGACTGAGGCTGTGCAGTTGCATTTGCATAGCTGCTATTCAGGGACTAATGCCAAAGCCCGTTGTCTTCCCACCACCCATGCTGCTTCCAGCACTGCCCACATTTTGAAATTCTTCTGAAGTTTCTAGGCTTGGGAACAAAATGTCATATTAGGGTTTTTGTTGTGAAAGGAAATGTAACTGTGCATACGTTTATTAAAACAGTTTTTCTCCAAATAGTGAACCATCTGTAATTTTCTGTCGGAAGCAACAGACATTAAAGCAGCTGTATGTCTGTTTCTCTTCACAGCGCTCCCATGCCCTACCTCATAGGAATCCATTTAAGTTTAATGGAGGTAAGTTGGCTCCTTTCCTCCCCAGGTCTCTCTACTGGCCGTTGTGTTTTGCTGCGTGGCCGTGGAACAGACACGGTCTGTGGACTCACAGCTCTGCCCGGGGGAGCGCGTGGAGCAGCGCCTCGGGCGCAGTGTCTTCCGAGGTGCACTGGGCTCATTTCCAGTGTTTTCCACTTTGCTTGGAGATTGTCAGTTTTCACGGGTGAGGGAGTGAAGCTCAGAGAGGCAGGAGGAAAAAGGCCTTCCAGTGTTTGAACAAGGGAAGGGAAATGCTTCGCTTTTCAAAATGATGTATATTCTAAATCACTATGCTAATATTACATTTTTCATTGTAGAAAATGTGGTGTGAAAAGTATATGGAAGTATAGAGGAAGATTAAAATGGCCCACAATGCCATGATTCTAAATTCAACCACTGTTTAGCATTTTATTAGTCTTCCTCCTAGTCTTTATTCTGTGAATATATATTTTGTATAGATGTACATAATTGACATGTGTTTTATAGAAATATAATTTTATGTTTTTATATGTCACTTAATATTATGTATGGCTTGGGGATTTCTACATGTTTTTTATTTACTCTCAGTAATAATAATTTCTTGTTTGCTACCTGTCATTCCACTGTTTGGACATATCACAACTTAACCATTTTCCTATTATTGTAGGACTTAGGTTGTTTATAATTTTTCACTATGATAAATAACATGTCAATGAATATGCTTATGCATAAGGCTTTATCTGCATTTTGACTTAGTTCCTTAGCGTAGAACCCCTAGTGTAGAAATGCTTGGTCAAAGCTCTGAATCTGACGCCAGATTGCTTTCTGCATGGCTGTACCAATTAGCTAGCAATTCTTTTAAAGGACTTATCTGTGCTTTTGTAAGTGCTGCGGGTTTGTAGATATGAACCCTAAGCTTTTCCCTCCTCAGGAGAGAGCTTAAATTTGTACTAGAGCAAAATGGGGTGGGAGGTGGGGGGCTTGCCTATTTTGCACAGGAGATAAGCGCTCAGAGGAAAATCTAAAGCCATATCCGTCTGTGATGATGCTTTGCATGTCTTAAAGGAAGTGCTACTTCTCTTCTTCTGTTCCCTTCATTTCACGTCGACGAGGACCACCTGCTTCTTCGCTAACTGTTGCACACTGTGCTATTGTGCTTACGAAAATGAAACAAGTTGGTTATCGAAAAACCTGTTTGTTTGACATTGAGAATCTTGATCAAAATAGACCACAGAAATCTGCTCAAATTTCTAATTTGACAGGACGGCCATGTGGCTCCTACATTCTGTTAACAGTTCCTCCTTGTCATCACCCAGCCCTGAGTACATACAGTACAGTTACGGACTATCTTGGATGGTGTATTTAGATCAGATTGAAGAGATTTCTTCTGTGTTTTACCTTTGTTTGTCAAGTTTGAGGATATATTCAAAGCTCCTGTATGAAAAATTTAAATTGAATACTTTCTAATAGGCTTTTGGTGCCAATTGTAGAGTTTGAAACACTAATGTAAAGCCCATTTGGTCTAGTGGAGACCACAGCTCTTCCCTGCCTCCCCTCCTGCCTGGCAGACTGTTCTCTCACAGGCCTTTTCAGACTCCTTTGCACGTCCCTGTACCTTCAGCATGGTCCGAGTTTCTAGTCTTGACCTGCTTTCCTTCTCTACATGCCCTCTAGCTACCTTGTTCAAGGCTTTTTGTTTCAGCCACCAAGGTAATGTCAGTGCCTCTCCGCTGTGACTCTAACAGTGGGTCACCTCTCCCTGAACATAGGGCCAAAGTTTCAAGTGCCAATTGAATTTCATCTAGATGTCCTGTGATGTCTCAAGCTCAGCCCTACACATCCACATGTACATGCACACATGCACGGATATGCACACGCATGGACACACACACAATCACATGCACACACACACACCAAGCTCCTTCCTCTCCGGCGCTCTGGTCCCTGTGAATGGCAGCCCTGCCTGCAGAGGCACCATCGTGGGACTCACTGAGCATGGCTGAATGCTCTTCTTCCTCCTCCTTTCTTCCTAGTCACTGAGTCTCTGACACGCCTCTCGCCCTGTTCTTGCTGTACTGCCTTGATTGACATTTTTCTTTGCTTTCCTGGATCCTTGCAAAGCCTTATTCATTCATTTGCAAAGCAGAAGGAAGGCCTCTCATGTTCCAAACATTTTGCTGGGTCCTGGAGGTCTGAAGATGAATCTACAATTCAGTTCACAGTCCCTGTATTTAGGGGGTTGCCTTCTACCAGTTTACTCCCCCTTTAGTAGCCTGCCATCCAGTGTCCCCCTGCACTGCCCCTGAGTCCTGCTCAGTCTCTTCACTGCGGTCAAGCCCTCTGTCCTCTCACTGCCCCTTGTTAGCCATGTGCTCACCGATCCCTTGCCGTACCCACATCCCCGCACCTCTGCATGGCTAACTAACCCTGCCCTTCTCCAGCTCTTCCAAGAAGTCCTCCCATTTTGTTACCGTCTTTCACTTACTGGACCTCCTGCTCTGGGTGATAGCTGTTTGCTTCCCTGTCCACCTCCATCATCCCTTGGGGCTGGAGTCCTTTGGGAACAATGACTGTTTCATTTATTGTGGTGCCCTCAGCACGTAGCAGGACACCAAGCAGGTGCTTTCTGAAAAGGTAGGCTGAGGGCGTGCTTGGAAAGCTGGAATCTGGACACATTTGAGCCCTCCAACAGGCATCACTGTTTCCAGAGAACCCAGCACCATGATTTTACTTAAAGATGGAAGGAGTCCATTTCTTACTTATTTATGATTGTAAGTTATTTAAAACAAGGCCCTTTGTTAGTAAAACATGCGATGCCAAACATGCTTAAATTGTGAAGCTACAACCAGAGACAAGTTTTGCACTTAGGTAAATGGGTCAAGCGCACTGTGGCCAGCCTTTGAAAGGCTTTAAGTGAGAAGGTTCTGGAAGCACGGGCCAAGATAAGGTCTTAGCCCTATGGATTGGCTAAACTGGGGCAGGGGTTGGCCATGCTCAATGTCTGTGTGGTCAGCACTAAAAGGAAAAGAAAATAGTAGTCGCCCCATGCTTGAAGCCAGCTAAGACCCTTTGTGAACAAAGTGGCATTTCCTGGGTGTGTTGGGCAGCCAGTGAACTACCAGATCTTGGCATTTAGTCTTCTCATCCCTTCCCGTGGACTTCAGCTCAGACGCGGAGTGCTCTAGTCGTGCTTTTTGATTGGGTTTATCTGGCTCTTATACCCGTCAGACGAGAGGGATGCTTCCCGTGAGCTTTCTTCCAGGATCTGTGGGCTGTAATGCTGGGGGAGGGGCTCGTACCTGGGCCAGAGGAGAGCTCTCCAAGGCGGGAGCTTGGAAGGCCCCGCTCCTCTCCCGTACTAGTTTTCTTACTGGCAATTCAGCAAAAGGCTTATTTTTGACTGTCTTGTTATTTTTTCTTGAAAGCTATAGGCACCTTATTATGCCTTTGCATATGTGCCAGAATTTTTTAAACTTCAAATGAATGTGGCAGATGTTCATAAAAGTTTAGAAAAAGCTACCATAGGAAGACTTTTTAACCATTTTTATGACATTCAAATTTGTTGCACAGAAAAGAATATAAATTGTAACCTAGTGTTCTCGTTTGAAAAAAAAAAAGCTTATTTTGAGGAAAGACCTAATTCCAGTCTGCATGCTCTTACCGGGAGCTCTTGCTATTTGTTCATTGGTAACCAAGTCACCTTCAAGAGACTGCCTTCCTTCTAAAGGGACACGTTTATAGCTCACCGTCATGCTGATCCCTGCTTCTGCCTTTGTATATCTTCCTCTCATTTAGGCAAACATTAACTTGAGTCTGGTGGTAAGTTCGCAGGCTAGCCCAGGGTGTTGGCATAGGCCTGGTTCTCCTTGGAGAGAATGATCCTGTTAGCTGGCAGAGAGGAAACACCAGAACGTGGCCAGATTACACCATGATGGTTTTCTTTTCTCCCCTTGACCTCAGCTTAGTTCAGGAGATATTTCTGCAGCCCCTCTTCTGTGCCTTGTGTGGTGGCAGGTGCCTGGCCATGTCTGGTAGCTGGTGCTTCTCCTGTTTGATAGATGAAGCCATTCCTGTCTAAGCCTCACAAACAACGCTGTGTGGACAGGCCTCAGAGTGACATGAGGGTGTTTTATGTCATCCCTGCCTGGTGGCAGAATGGTCAGGAATGAGGAAGGAAAGGTGGGAGCAATGACACAGTTCCAGATGGAAGCTCAGGTTAGCCTGAAACCAAGCTCTACCAAGGCCCAGAGGCAGCACAGGGGCGCAGATAGCATAGAACGTGGGCTCTGGATTCTGGCTGCCCTGCTTCTGCCTGTGTGACCTGGGGCAAGGTAAGTGACCGCTGAGCTTTTTTCTCACCTGTTCCTTCCCTATAGGATGTCAGAGGATCCAGGGAGATAATGGTTGTCGGGTGCCTAGCACAGTGCCTGGCACGTAACGCAGTCAACAAAGGCCAGCAGCCATTGCTGTTTGTATTTCCTCAGTGGCCTTAAAGCTATTGACATTGTTAAGTTGATGGCTTTAAAATCATGTCTCAGGGACTTTTAGCTTCCAAGGCTCATAGTCATCAGCCTCATTTTCTAGGGAAAGAGAGTTTCAACAAAATTGTTTTGTGCCTACACCATTTTCTCCTGGTTTTCGGTGCTGGAGACATTGTTCCAGGGATAGGAGTGGCACTTTTGTAGAATTTGCTAAATGCGCTCCCAATCCCCTGCTTGACCACGCCCCCGCTGTAGTAACTTCAGGGAGGATACTCTGTATCTTAGTTTCTTCATCTGTAACAGCGGTGAGTGCCCATCTCTTAGGATTGTGGTAAGGATTAAATAAATGAGTGCTGTATATGTCCAGTATAGCCCAGCGTCTGGCCTGTGGTAGGTAGGCAGTAAACACCCCCTTCTACAGTCATGTTGTGAGAGCCTTCTATGGACCAGGCACAGCCTCGTACTCCAAGCCTAGATAGAATAGTGAATACGCATATGACATAATCCCTGACCTCACGGAGT